AATTTTCTGACTTTATACGCCCGTTTGTAGAACCTATTATATGCGTTTCGCGAGTTTACAACTTACAAGACCACCTGTTACAGGGAACGCAGCGCGAAAACGTTTTCTAATTAACCAATTTGTATGTTCCGTGCTAACAGTCCGCTCATTTTTCACATATTTTAGAACCAGTAGCAACGCTACTTTCGAATCGATTAGTTACCTACCTACTATTAAATTGGTCAATGTCTACAATGTTACGTTTAATAGAGCCAGTCGCATTATACGAAACGAAAAAAAAAACCAGTTGCACTTGCACTTTACACCCGATCGAATAATATTTTTCACGCCGATCTAGCACTCTCTTTTCGTCCCGAGTTCTGAATCGAGATTTCGAGAGTAGATCGTTCCGATCGATTAACGTTTCTCTTCCAATAATTGTTTCCCATCGGGTGAAAAAATTGAGACAACTAGTTCGCTTCGACACCAGCCAGATAGCGATTTTTATCTCGGTACTGAGAGTCAACTACGCACGAGTCTCGCGTTACATGAGCTCAATAACCGTGCATCGATGTGTCACTACCGACAGAACAGTTTTTATACTCTTCGGTGTATTTTTCTCCAAATATTATTAATAGTCAATTGCAATTGTAACTGCATTCTTATTCAAACATGGTTATATTTGAAAGTAAAACAAAGCTGACTCGTAGTTGATCGAGATACTAAATCCCTGAAACTTTGTTTTCAGATAATTGGTAACTAGCCACAATTTGTCATAAAACTTATTTTTGTGTGTTTCTTAAAATTCAAGAGTCCTATCTAGATTTTAAAATTTTTAATTTTAGCAAAGTTACAAAAATAAGTATTGAAATAAATTTTAGGTTTTCGATGGTTTGAAATCGAAATTTTAGTCTTGCAGAATGTTACACGGTTGTTGATCTGACAGTGAACGCGTTAAATGCAAGTTGAAATCCAGCGAGCACTAATCACGAACCGGTCGGGAGCCAAGACCGCTCGGATAGGTGTAAAAATCGTCGGTTGAAAACGAGAGTAGCCCCGAGGGCCGAAATGTCAGCTCGGCTGGATCGGCGATATCGTGACACGCGTGACGTAACTTAACCCTGTTCCACGAAGGACGCGGTTTTCACCAGGTTCGATCTTCCTGTAAAGATGGTATCGTTTCGTTCGAAAAAACCGGTATCCTCGCGCGACGGAGACGCGAAACGTGTAACGGAGGGGGTTAAAGAAGAAGACGCAAAAGGAGGATTCGACGTCGTGCAAGGTCCTCTTCGGGTACTTTTACTTTCGTTAAATAAATAGGCGCGTAAAGAAGAAGCCCCCCCTCTCCCCCCCCCCCCTTCGATCGAAATCGACCGGTTGCAGCATATGTGTTCGCGAGTGACCATCGCCGAAACGAAACTTTCATCCGACACGACTTTCCTCGCTTTCTTATCGGATTCGGGACTCAGCGACCCGGGCCACCGGGCTCTTTCACTCCAGTTCGAGGATTGGGCATCATCGTGGTGGATTCGAAGCTTAAAGGTGTACAAAATAACCTAGTTGCGTCTAAACACAAGTCTGGACGCGTTTGACTACTGTTTGTTCACGAGAAATTGGCTAGAGGGAGTGTCTCGCTTGCTCCGCCCATCCCTCTAGGCTAGAGTGGGGAACCAATCACACCCACATTCCTTTCACTAACCAACTTCTCGTGGATACACTGTATCTCGTCTCAAATGTTTTTCGTACATGAGAAACCCATTATCTATCATTTTCGTACCCTGTATATTTCTTGGTAGGGAAAATCACTTGTTATGAAGAGTCGAATGTTTGTTCTGGGTTGAAACTCGGGAAAGAAGAGATATTTTTGAGATTCCAAATAAAAATAATAGAAATTTTTTATTATACGATGTCAAATTCTTTTTCGATGGAGGAAAGTGGACGAGCTTTAGGTGCGATCGTCGGTTGGTTGCACTTTGAATTTGCCGCGAGTAGCTCCCGGTGGAAATCGTGCATAATTCGACCGTCGAAAGTGAAATCGCGACGAGAAAGAAAGGTGACGCGTCGCCTTCTCCCGTTCCTTATTTGGCGTCGGATTTTTTTCATCATTTTATGCATACGAACGTGCACGCGCTTATGCAACGCGGCCGGGGTTAATCGACGATTTATACAACCTCTTCCGCGTCGGTATCGACCGTACATTTCACAATCATTGTGATCCCTGAAAATTCAGATTCCCTAAAACCTAATTGACGGAATTTTCCCCTCGAACGAAAATGATTAATAATAAGACAAACCTCCAAAATTGAACCCCTCGATTCGTTTCTATTTTTCCAGAGGAAAAGTATTATCGAGAAAAAATTTCCCTTCGCGTCAAAAAGTTTTGTTCGACACAGTGAGGACTCTGTAGAACTTTGTACGGTAAACAGAGAGGTGGTAGATTCATTGAGAACCAGGGTGGAGAAGGAAAGGCGAGGACGAGAACTCCGAATACGTTGCACGCGAGACTGGATCGAGACGGGAACGGAGAAAGTACAACCTGGAAGAAATACAGATTTTTTGGACGATAAGAGGGGGGGTATTAATGGATAGAGAAGTTTTGACCGAGCACGAGCTGCTTCGGGGGTTCGCTGCGTGGGACGAGCTTCGTGAGAAATCGAAAGTAACATAAAACATTTCGGAAAACGGGACACGGTTCGTTTTGACAGAAAAGGAAACGATACATCGTGAAAGCGTGCGCCGGCAGACGCGGATAAATAATTTGAGAGCTCGTTATTTCGTCGGTTGGCTCGTATATTAAATTTGTAAATTCGATGTTCATTGATCTTCGGGTTAGTAGTGGATCAAAATGACCCATTCGTAGTTTCTAATAAAAATTATAGAAGATTTACTCGATAAAGAATGAATAAACACTTAGTTCCATTGCATTATACATTTCTTCAAGTATCTATCGTTTTGGATACATCATTACTGTTAGCAGTTTTAGTGTTAATGATAGTTCGTATTTTTATTGATTTATTTACGGGTGAAAGAATGCATTGATTTACAAAGATTATTAATTCGTTATGTTGTAGAGATACATAAAGTAATAAATACAAGCATTCAAATGTATTCTATTAAATATTACCAAAAATTGGACAAAATGCAGGGTCATAAGTTTACTTATTTTAGACTAGTTTGGTAGATGTAGTATTGAAGTTTTCCAAAAAAAAAAATATAGAAAATGTGAGTAGGTTGGACAAGCTGTCTTCAGTCTGGTAGCTTGATCTTTCTAAGATTAGTATAGAAAGTGGAGGTTATATCAAAATTAAGCCATCATTTGAGTATTTACAAAAGTGATCAAAGACACTATTATTGGTTCTAGTCTAGTTTGGCAGATTTAGTGTTGAAAACAGTTTTCCAATGAAAAATATAGAAAATGTGAATGAGTGCAACAAGCTGTTTCCAACCTAGTAGCTAGATCTTTCTAAGAGTAATATAGAAAATGGAGGTTATATCAAAATTAAGCCATCATTTGAGTATTTAAAAAAGTGATCAAAGACTCTTTTACTGGTTCTAGTCTAGCTTGGTAGATCTAGTGTTGAAGACTGTTTTCCAATAAAAAATATAGAAAATGTGAATGAGTGCAACCCAGTAGCTAGATCTTTCTAAGATTAATATAGAAAATGGATGTTATATCAAAATTAAGCCATCATTTGAGTATTTAAAAAAGTGATCAAAGACACTTTTACTGGTTCTAGTCTAGCTTGGTAGATCTAGTGTTGAAGATTGTTTTCCAATAAAAAATATAGAAAATGTGAATGAGTGCAATCCAGTAGCTAGATCTTTCTAAGATTAATATAGAAAATGGATGTTATATCAAAATTAAGCCATCATTTGAGTATTTAAAAAAGTGATCAAGGACACTTTTACTGGTTCTAGTCTAGCTTGGTAGATCTAGTGTTGAAGATTGTTTTCCAATGAAAAATATAGAAAATGTGAATGAATGCAACAAGCTGTTTCCAACCTAGTAACTATATCTGTCTAAGATTAATATAGAAAATGGAGGTTATATCAAAATTAAGCCATCATTTGAGTGTTTAAAAAACTGATCAAAGACACTTTTACTAGTTCAAAGCTAGCTTGATAGACTGTTCTCCAATGAAAAATATAAAAAATATAGGTAAATTCTAGGATCTATCTCCACCCTGGATCTTTCCAGAGTAAATACGGAAAACAAAGATCCCGGCATGCTGCAATCGGGCACCAATTTCGACCAGGTGGTCGAGAATCCCCCCAGCAAAAACTCGTTAATCGTCGGGATTCGAGAGAAGTTCGAGTGAAAGTTCCTCACCGAGGAGAGGCAATTTTTCATAGTTTGGAGAACGGGTCGCCGCCGAAAGAGACACGTTCGATCGAGCGGGTACCCCCGGTCCGGGTGCATTCGAAGGAATATCCCCGTGTGTCTCGTGATTCCCCCCCGGTCCTCGGGCTGTCGCGTAGCGCCAACGAGAGAGTGAAAGTTCCCGCGTACACGCGTGCCGGAGTTTTTGGCATTGGGCGTTGGGATTGGAGGGCCTCGGTTGGTATCGAGGTCACTGGTGCCACCACCACCACGCGACGCCCGTGGATCCACGGACTCCGGTGGATCGCGTGGCCCGCACGGCTGCCCCCAAAAACTTTGGGCTGTGCGTGGCGTTCACTTCGACTCCTCCGCGCGGATCGTGTGTTCCTCGACTTCTTCCGGGGCTTTCCAGAAGCTTTCGACGCGACTACGGTCCCGTGGATCGCGGAAGTGCGAATCGTCTCGCGATGGATCGTTCAGTGACGTTAGCGACGACCTCTTCGGCCTGATTACTAGTGATTTTTCGCGGTTACCACCGTGGGTCCAGGTCGTCGATACGATGATCCTTCGGGCATCGTCGCGAGTGACGTGACTTCGATCGTAGACCATGGGCGATCTGTTCGTGGATCCGATCTAGATCAGTGCACGTGTAGGATTTTGGATATTACGGAGGTTTCGTTCTGGACCAGTGACAGATACCATGTGCGCGAAGATGAGCGTCCTGCAAGGTCGTCACATAGGTAGGAGATTTTCTAACGAGCATGCTAAGTGATCGATACCAACGTGATAAACGTGTGAGACGTTCAACGTCGTGGATCGACGAAGTGCGAACTCTGGGGAGCTACAATAGTGGAGGGATAGTTGTTGATGAGGATAGAGTCGATGCTAGGGAATTTTAGGAACGTTGATATATTTGATACAGATAGGATGGATCGAAAGTAATTAAAGAGTACGTGTTTATGGTGGTTTATTCGATGAATGAAACAATTAGCAGTCTTCAGGAGGGAAAAACGTGAAATCATTTCGTGACTAAAATTAATAAACATATACTCTCATATACTCTTTCCTAACAGTGAAAGGATGGAGGATACTAAGTATAGGAGCATGGATGAAAATTGTAGGTATTGATGAGTATAATAAAGGGAAATTATGGAACACTGAATCATTCGACTGAGGAATGCCGTGAACCAGAAAGTGCGGAGAAAATTTTTAAAATATGTAATTACGATGGAGTAAACTGGGTAAGAGTGATAGAAAAAAAGAGCAAAACAAAAGGAAAATTTATAGCGCGATTATTTAAAATCCAACGAGGGCTGTGGGAATCGTCAGAAATTGAGACGCGAATTATAGGGAGGACGACTGAAGATTAATGCGGACTAATGTGAAATTCATTTCGTAGCTAAGGGGCTAAAATTAATAAATGTGCACTGGCGCGTGCTGTCCTTCTCTAACAAAGATCGTAGAACAGACAGAGATGTTGAAATATGGAAAACATAGGTATTGAAGAAATTGTGGAACACTGGAAACATTCAGAATATGACGAAACAAGAAAGATAAATTGTGGCGCGGAGAAAATTTTAGAAGGAGGTAATTACGATAGAATAATGAAGTGGTTCAGAATGATAGATGCGAAATTATGGAATACTTGAAACATTCGAGGAACGTGGCGAAACCGAAAAGATAGATTACACTACAGAGAAGATTTATAATAACCTGAGTTGCTTTAATAGAACAATTAGCTGGTTAAACGATGGGAAATACAACAATTTTTAAAAGTAATTCTCAGACACTCCATTATTTTTTTATTTCGATAATCAATTGAGCAAAATTCATAGCCAATTCAATAAACACTTCTCTCGAAGATCTATCTTCTATAAAATAGAAAAATAGAATTTATATAATGCAATCAAGAATGTGATTCTCGTTATCGCGTTTTTCCCCTCTCGATCGACGAAAGAAATTCGCAACGATTAAATTATTGCTCGACGAAGTTTCCCCCATGTTTTTCTTTCTTTTTTTCTCGCGATCCGTTTAAGCAGAAATCCCTGCGTCTGATACTGCTGGGTCTCGGTAGAAGTTCGTGAAATTGGAATTTCCGAGGTGCAACGGGGTGTCAGTTTGTCAGCGTCCTCCCGGGTCAATAACACCGCGACGCGATTTCACAATTGCACGCTTCGCTAATTGCAAATCACAATTGCTGCTCGGCAAAGCGACCGCGTGCGACGGTGACGCGAAATATTCCTAGAGTCGTTCTTTTCCTCCTTTTCGCGTGGCGCAAGAACCACCAAAGCGACGCCGTTTCCCCGGAAAACGGAAAACGGACGAAATTTATAAACAATAACTGCACGCGAAATGCTTCCAAAAAATATGAAATTCTACTTTCGTTCGTTACGTGGCTACACGTGTATTTTTGTAACAATTTTCAATTAATTCATAAATTCGAGCAAAACTTCTGTTTCGTGAATTATAAAATTTTTCAAAATTATTGCATAAGCAATTGTAATATATTAGAAAATTACTTGTGTCGATATTACACAAATTCGATATAAAAATATTTGTTTTATTCTATTAAAATTCTGTTTTAATTCGTCAGCTTAGCGCGTATACATTATGTTAAGATTGAATTTTAATTTGTTGGCTCAGTGTATTTTCTTTAACACTTTAGTGCCCATACAATTTTCAATGAATTCATAAATTCAAGCAAAACTTCCATTACCTAAGTAATACAAATTTAAAAAATTCTATTATTGCGAAAATAATTATGATATACTAGAACATCTAAATATTAAAAAATTACTTATGTCAAATAACTCGTTCGAGTACGAATACAAATATCGAAGATAAAGAAGAGACCAAACAATAATAAAGTACGACGAAGAAAGGTAAATAAAACGATACCCAAGAAAAAACATTTATTTTATATCGTCTCCCGCTATGAAAAAAGCCATAAGCGAAAACGCGTTCCCCCGTTAAATTCGATCGTTTCGGCGCGCGAAGTTCGATCGAACGCGAAACTTCTTATTCGTTGTGAGACCGGTGCTCGCCGCGATTCCGAGGATCGTTAACTGCATTCAACAAGGTAAACGATACTTCTCGCCAGCTTATAAGCGATCGTGAAAATCCGCGCACGATCGATTGCGTAAACGATAGAAACCTGGAAACCGCGGGGTTCTTCGTTGCTTCGCAACAACGTGGACTTTTGCTCCAGATTGCAACAGTTCGAGCCTCGATCGGCAACTTCGACTCGCCGCGTATCGCAACGAACTTCGACTCCTCGATCCGAATCGCCGGGAATTTTTCGTAAAACGCGAACGAGGATTTTTGTCGCGGGTTACCAGCGATTTCGTCACGCGTTTAACGAACGTGTCGCAACGATCGGGGAAGCAGCTATTCGCTGATACAACGAAATCGGCACTCGTACTAAGCGCGAAAAATGGCGGACGAATTAGATCGATGAGTCGCAATTTTATTCAAATTCGTGTCCCTTTTCACGAGAAACTTTAGGATGTAAGAAAGTAAATAAAATGAAATTTGACGAGGTTAAGGTTAACTTGTATTCCACTGGCGCCACTATAGCGACAAACATAATACGCACCTCTAGCTTCATTTATGATAAAATTTAAATTATTTAGTTTTGCGGGGAAAACAATATTTTTTTATTTTTCCAAAGGATTAAGGTTAGGAGGAGCGCTGGGAATTTTTCGTGACTTTTTCAGCTTCATTTTTGCTTCTAAAGTGTTCAGGATCGAAGACACCGATCGCGCTCTGTAAAATTAGAAATCGAATCGGGTCTTTCAGGGATTCGTAAATGGTCTATTGGTCATGAACTACTTCCTGTGTCCTCCCAAATCGTAACCCGTCTTTTTCTCCACGCTTTCTACGAGACTCTCATTCTGCAGTTCAATAGTCACGGTTTACGTTTCATTATGTTCCCCATTAAAACCAAAGAATAATTATTATTCCGTGAACTTTCCACCATTTTGAGTTCCTTCAAAAAAAGAATGAACGCATGATCGAAAACTGAATTCTGGATGCAGTAAATGAGAGTAAATAAATGCGACGCGTAGACGGGACGGATTTCGATGTTTCCACGGCAGCTCGTCGTGGCTTATGACACAACATGGCAGAGCTTGCCGTAGGAAAAGTAAGGTAAGGCCAGTGGTATAATAGAAACTTTCACTGCGGAGGTTCAACGTACCCAGGCTACAAACGACTCTCACTGGCCGTTCTCACTGGTTTGCCCGACTACCCGAGCATCCGAAAGACACGATTCCTGTCTCCAGCGACGCTTCTCTCTTCCTCCTTCCCGTCGACGCGTGCCGACACGTAAGACGAATTAACCGAGAATATTTATAACGGTTTTGTGCCCCATTGTCGTGCTCGAACGCTGGAGAAATTTCCCGTGTACCCGGCGCCGGTCAAGACAACCCCTCTGGAAACCAGCTCCTTCCGTCCTCGTAACCGACGCTAATGGCGCGCGTTATCGCTCACCGGAGGAGCAAAATGTCTATCTCGATCGCTAATTTCACGCCGCTGACAGCTTCTTTGCGGACACGTTCACGGTACGACAAATAACTTGCAAACACGTCGTTTGATAATAATCGAAGACGACACGGCTCAAGGGACGCGACGCCATCTTGTATTCGGGGTGTGAGAAGAAAATTTGCATCGTTTGGTGATAAATGATTGTTGCAAAGGACTTTTGGATGAATTTTTGACTTTCTTTGCAAGTATATTTGTTCGATCAGAATCGAAGAGGTTATAGGATGGGGGACTCGACGCCATCTTGGAACTGGGACGTGTAATATGTCTGACAAGGAAATTTGCATGTTTTGGTGCAAGTTTCACGCTAATTCGGTAATAAATGGACAGGTTGAGTTAGTTTACTCACTTTTAAATGTGGACCCATACAAAATAAACCTAAATGGTACTCATGAATTTCAACGAGATTGTAAAAGTGAGTTCAACGACAAATTGTGGGCATGCTGGGTTCCAAAACAAATTTTGCTGTTTTCGTGGACAATTCGTAGACTTCAATCTGCGAATCGATCTACTAATAGTCGACTGACCTTCACAGTTACGTAATTTGTTGACTGTCCGAAGGCGGAAGTCATCGAAATGGACGGGACTTTTCCTTTCGTGAATAATTACCGAAATTTTGTCGGTGTCTTTAACCGACCTATCGTCAACTATGAGTGTTGCTCGCGGAGAGAACTTTCCTGGCCAGATAATGTCCCCGTGTGCTCGGTACAGCGATCGAGGCTAGTGGAGATAACGCGATACGGCTCGAGGAAGCGAAGGTTTCTCATGTTCCTCTGCTACGGTCTTTCTCCGTGCCCCTCCCGGAAAAAGAAAGTTCGGTGAACGCAGCGATTAAGAATCCTCGTTTTTGCGACCGTAGTAAGAAACGCGAACTCGAGTCGTCGCGAGAAATTCTGACGACGACAGGGGACCCCCAGGGCCGTATCAAAGGCATTCGTCACCTTTATTAAAGCTCTCTTCGTCACCTGAACGATCAAACATAGACAGTTTGTTATAGGAAAATCCTCGAACGTTGATTATAACATAAAAAAAAATTGCAAAAGCCAGCGACAAAGACATTGAGAGATTCGAGCTGCAGATCGCGAGGAAATGCTCGCTCGAGGCCAGCGGCAAATCACGACATATTACATAAACTATTTACAAGTTCGGATGTATTAACATCTTCGATAAGATGTAACACAAAGTGCAAGAGCAAACT